ATTGCAAAATGAACTGTGTCGTTATTTTGTCCATTTCTTTAAAATAGGTTTGATTTTGAACAATCGTTATGGTTTGGAAAAGAAACATGAGTCTTGGTAAAATGTTCATCTTGATAGTAGCTATTCTACCCATAAAGGAAATTTGCAAAGTTTTCAATTTTTCCAGATCTTTTAAAATTGTTTTCAATATTTCCATATAATTATTTTCCATTAAAGCACTACATTTATTGGTCAAGGCTATTCCTAGATATTTAACTCTTTTTTTGTAGTTCAAAGCCTGATTTTTCTTGTAATGCTATTGAATATTTCTCAGTCATATTCTTTGTCATAATTTTTGTTTTGTTGACATTGATTTTCAAACCTGCTACTGTCTCATATTCTTGTTGCAAGTTAATAATTGTATTTATAGAACCAAGGGGATTCTCTAAGATGAAGACTAAATCGTCTGCAAATGCCAGCAATTTGAATTCTCTCCCTCTTAGTTTAAGGCCTCTAATTTGTTTGTTGATTCTAATCACTTCATTCATAATTTTGAGCATGAAGATAAATAGCAAAGGGGACAAGGAGCATCCTTGCTGTGTCCCTTTCTGAATCTCAATATTCTGGGAAAGGTCCCCATTAATGGAAATCTTAGCTAGCTGTTTCGTATAGATAGCTTTAATCACTTTAAAGAACTCTGTGCTCACTTGTGAATAAGTAAGCATTTCCAACATGAAATTACAGCTAACATTGTCGAAGGCTTTCTCAGCATCTAGGAACATTAAGGCTAATTGTTTTTCTGGGTGAGCTTCATGGTATTCTAAAACATTTAGAATGGTTCGTAAGTTATTTTTGAGTTGCCTTCTGTGGAGAAAATCCACTTGATCTTTGTGCATCATTTGTGACAGGACTTTTTTCAATCTTGTTGCTAAAATAGAGGCGTATAGTTTATAGTCCACATTTAAAAGAGAGATGGGTTTGTAATTTTTAATTTCTTTCTCATCCGTACCTTGTTTGTGTATTAAAGATATTAAGGCTTTATTCCAGGTATCTGGTATTTTCTGTCCAACTGTTATGTTCTGACATACTTCTTTTAAGGGGAATATTAGTTGGCCTTGGAAGATATGGTAAAATTCCGCTGGTAGCCCATCCGGACCTAGGGCTTTACCTTTCTTTTGTTTTTTTGAGCGCTTCTGTCATTTCAGCTAATGAAATAGATTGATTTAATAGTTTCCTTTGTTCCTCTGTGAATAATTTTGGCTTATATTTTTCTAGATATTGTCTAACTTGTTGTTGTGTAGCTTCAGCTTTATTGTATAGATTTTGATAGAACTTCTGAATAATAACTTTCATGTCCTGTAAGTTGTTTTTTTCTTCTCCTTTTTTATTTCCTACTGTTCTTATATTGTTCTTCTCCTTTTCCTTATGCAGCTTGTATGCCAACCATCTGGTTGGTTTATTTGCATCGATTGCCATTTTTAAACATGTTTACTTTTTACAGAATTTGCCAAAGTCCCAAAAACGTGCCCAAATGCTTATTTGGCTCCTGGAGTCTCTCTAATACAGTCTATTGCCATTTAAATCTCCGTCCCCACTACAAAGGCTTTTCTTTAATTGCTTATTTGTTCTTTCCGGGGGAGATTCCCCTCCCCCCCTCGCTTTTAGTAAAAGGGGACTCGCTCGTTCTCTGGTGTTCTCGCTTTAACGGACTCACTCTTCAATGTCTGATAACTCAGATCTCGCCAGGTAATGATTTAAACGGTGTCCCTCCAAGCATTTGTCTCGGTGTGCATAGCTTAGTCCCATTTGGGAACACAGCACAGAGACCTTCGGGGCAAAGGGAAGCCTCAATCTGCTGGCAGCATGCCAGCAGAGAGGCAACCTTCAGCGCCCCATCGCAAGGGCCCCATCGCAAGGCACCCCCTCTCAATGTGCTGGTCCGTGGATTGCCCCCTCTTTACCAAGAGTTGTGTCTTGCTGAGTAAAAGGTATATTCTTGCTTCAAAGGGTTTCTTACTTTCCATGCATCTATACAGTTACATTCTTCTATTAGTTGGTAAAAGGCTGGAGGGAGTTCATTTCCTCTTCCTCGTTTCTTATTTCCCTTTATAGTTTTTCTATCTTCTTCTCTGTTAAAAACTGCATTGAAGTCCCCAATAATACAAATTTCTTGAAAATCTTGTTTGGAAATCAGGTCTCGTAATGTTTTATAAAATTTTTATTGGTATTGGTTAGGAGCATAGATATTTACTAATAAAGTCTTCTTAGTTTGTCTTTGCAGTTGAACCATTAAAATTCGGCTATCTTGTGAAGCATAAATCAACTCAGCTTGAAGATGTTCCTTTACATATGTCACTACACCCCTTTTCTTTTCTTTTTTGCTTGTCTGATGCCATAAAAGTTTTACCAAATTTTTAACTTGAATGTGTTTTTGATCATCTTTTCTAATATGAGTCTCTTGAAGACATATTATACCTAGATTATTATTTTTAATTGATGAAAAATACGTCTTCTTTTTTGGGGTGAGTTCAATCCATTAACATTTATTGAAATGATCCTTATTTTATTTTTACTCATTTTGGTTCTGGGTTTGCTGGTCCTGAGTGTCTCTTGTATGTTTCCTTGTAACTACTGGAGTGGTCCGTGTACTTCCATGTTTCTTAGATTCTTTCTTGTTTGTGCCTGATGTACCTGAAGCTCCTTGAAGGGGATCCTCCTCTTCATCTTCTGTCTCAGGATTTTTCGTTTCTAATAAAATGTCATCTCCATGTGTCCTTAAAAAGCCTTCTGCCTTGAAAATCGATGTAATTCTGTGTCTCTTGCCTCTGGAAGAAGCCACCTGTAGTTTATTCCGTTTTGTCTCAGTATTGTCGTGAGTTCCGTGTATTCTTTTCTTTTTTCCCTGACTCTCCAGGGAATCTCCTTTAATATCTTTATTTCTGTATAGTCGATCATGAATCTCACATGTACTTCTCTTGGCAATTGGTGTCTCCTGGCATACGATGAATTCATTCTGAAGGCAATGTCTATCTCTTCCAATACTTTCTCTTCCTCTTCAGTTTCCATATGTTTTGCTAAGTTATGGGCCATTTTTTCCTGATTTCTTCATTTTGTTCTTCTGGTATGTTTTGAAATCTTAGTATAAAGGCCACTTTATCTACCTGAAGTCTAATTAGGTCTTGTTCCATAAGTAGTTGTTTTGCATCTGTTGCTTGTATTTTAGTCTTCAGTTCTTTTGTCTTCACATTCATTTTCTCAGTAGTTTTATTAAGGGCTGTGATTTTCTGAGTATTGTCTGTTATTTCTCTTTGTAAAGCTTCCATATTGCTTGAAAACTGTTGCATGATCTCCTTCTTTGCTTCTTTAATTGGGTCTACAGCTTCAGAGATTACTCCTTTAATAGAATCTTGTATTAATGTTTGAAATTCTTTGGTTTGGGTGGAGGGTATATTTGAAGTCACTGATCTGGGTACTCCAGGTGAGCCTGAGGGTATTTTTGGAGGTTTGTGAGTACCAGCAATTCTGTATGTTCTCTTCAGTTGTAGATTTTACTTCCCCCCTTTAATGAATTGCACTCCAATACTCTTGTTTGGTAACAAGCTGTGCTGTAAAAGATACAGGCTGTGCTGTAGAAGATATTGCCAAGGACGTTGCTGTACGATAAGCCCAACACCAACAACAATAACTGGAATACAGTTGTTACTCTTATATCTATTATCCAGAAAAAAGGGATGGGGGGAAGGAAAATAGCTTCACATAGATCCGGAGACACAGTTTTTAAACTGGATAAAAGAAGAGAAGCTTTGCAATATAATCTGAGAACAAACCAAGTCCTTATAAATCCAATTCAGAAGGTGGAGAAATCTAGTCCTTTCTAATTAGTATTTATAAAGAGTGCCCTGAGGGTCCACACTCTATCCCAAATAGGGGAAAAATTGGGAGCATTGCAAGAGTCTACTGGAGTTTCCAGGTTTCCAATCAAGAGTTTACAGGTTGCAGGAATCTACAAGTTTCCAATCAAAAGTTGAGAGTGTTGCAAAACTTAAAAGGGAAACCAACCTTTCTTCTCAGCTTAAGCTCAAGGGTAAAGATAGAAGTTTAATGCCAGTCTTTTCTTTTTTAGCCGTTGTTTGGTAGAGATGGGGGCGGGGAACCTCCCTCCTCTGCCTTTAAGAAATGTTTGAAGATTAAAGGGGCTAAAGCAGTTTATTTAGAAAGGCAGTCTTTCCTTATTTAGAGCAGTTGTTGTTATGATCTAGTTGTCATTGATTTTGACTAAGTTTCTAAAAAAAAAAACCCGCTTGGGAAGCAACAGCTAAAAGCCAATGCCGCCATGAGCTTCCTCTTGATCTCCGCATTGGAGGCGATCCAGGGTTTTCACCTGTGCACAGCCAATGCACTGGGGCCCCCGAATCAAGCCTCTTGCTCTGCTCCCCCTTCCCAGGAGGGCAGAGGGGTCTTGGATGGCATCAGACGGTCCAGAGACCCCTTGGAAAGATCAAAGTAGCGGGCACGCTGGGAAGCGCGTCCGTTTTCACCGCACTGCAACCGGAAATCAGCCTAAGCTTGTTATTCCTGTTTGGTCCTTGTATCTGTTAAACATTTTCATTATGTTGTATGCTAATTTGCTGCTCACCCTCTACCTATATGTATGGACTAGTAACTTCCATTTCAATGTATCTGTAGAAGTGTGCGTGCACACGAAAGCTTATACCTTGAATACAAAATACAACTTTGTTGGTCTTAAAGGTGCCACTGGACTCTAATTTTGTTCTGTTGCTTCAGACGAACATGGCTACCCACCTGAATCTATGTTCACTCTCCTCTATTTGGCCTTTAATCCAAATGAGAAACCCTGTTGCTGATTCTGCTGGCACTCCCTGACATATTTTATTGCACCCTCTCATATGAAAATAAACAGTTCCGATGGTTTCAGGGTCCATATACACAACAACCCACTCAAAAATGTAAACAAAAAAGTGAGTCTGGAAGCAGATAAAATATGTATCCTTTGCACTTACAGAAAGCTGACCAGGTAGGACTTGTGGTGCATCTTTTAGGGCTCCGGGGCTAGTAGGGGAAATAACAGAAATTGATGGCCGTTCCATTTTTTGAGATTCAAATGAGCTAGAACCTGTAAAGATGGTGGAAAAATAGACATTTAAAGCTGGATATATCACAATCAGTTTTATTACTACCACTGTCACTTTATTTACTCAATGGCCACTGAACCAACCACTCAAAGACATCAATCAATGGTTTGATCATGAACATTAGAAAGGAAAGAACAGTCTTACCTATTGACTACTACTACCACTACTGACATGAAAAAGAAATGTAGTACCTTCCCTTTTTATCCTATTTTCCATAGCTGCAAAAGTTTAAAAAGAAAACATGAAAGAAAGGAAAAATAATAGGAGGAGGATATCAGGGGGGAAAATAAAACCATTTCAAAATTCTAAATGCTCATCTTACATTCTCAAAATCTCTAAATATATTTTAATTTTCACCAAAATATTTAATTTAAAACAGGGGGAAACAAGGTAAATACTCAAACTATATAAGACAAAGAATGGCTCAGGAGCCTTTTTGGCACTGTGTGTTGCTCTCCACAAGTCCATTTTCAATGTCAATATACTGTATTCAAATTACCACTGGAAAAGGGTGGAGGAAGAGAGATTCTCACTACAGGAAGAAACTCTTGTTGCTGGTGGAAAGCTATGATATTGTTTATTATTGTTCCGGGAGGGTCTGGGGCTCAGTGGTACAGCATCTGCATTACATACAGAAGGTCCCAGGTCCAATCCCTGATGTTTCCAGTTGAAAGGACCAGGTAGCAGGTGATGTGAAAGACTTTACCTGAGACCCAGAAGAGATGCTATACTCTGAGTAGACAATACTGACCTTGATGAACCAATGGCATGATTCAGTATAAGGCAACTTGATGTACTTACATGGACAGATTTATTTCAGATCAAAGAATGCACTAGATGCTTACTTCTACCTCTCAGGCAAGAAGGGGGAAGTGACACAAACCACAGAAAATGTTTCTTTTAAATGTAAAATAAAATGATTCAATAAATGGGGGAGTAGCTTAGAAGTTAATTATTACACTAAAATAAGTACATCAGCACTAGAATCATACAGCAAAAAAACATACAGCAAGAGACTAACAACAGGGGAGCAGGGGAGGGGAGCTGAATTACATTATTTATAGTCCAGTTTCCCTGGGAGTAAAGACAACAAAATAAACCTGAGTACGATTCTGAGTAGACTTGCTTAGGATAGTCTATATGTATCTCATGGACACTGTCTAATAGTGGCCCGTAATACACATACTATCACGGAACAATCAGAACGGCAACTAAATGTGGTATGAAGAGGGAGGGATGCAGTTAAATACTAAGGCAATTGACTGGAGAATTGTAGAAATGCAATATTCTTGTAACAGAAGTACCCCTTGAAAAGAAATTATGTGGTGAGTGCAATAAATGAGAAGCAAATATGCATTCATTCTGTTGTGAACCAATTTTTCAAAATACCTCCTGGGAAAAATTCTTTTCAACAAACTTAATTTTATGTGGAACATTATTACATGTCTTTGTAGCACAGAAGAAAAAAAAATAAGCCAGTAATGTTGGGGAATGTTTAAGATTTAGGGTGTATGCATGTCACAATCTAGTGGTGGGATCACACTGTACCAGTTCCAATGATTCCTTTGAAATGTGGGATGATCCAGGAAGTGGTGAACTGTGGTCTCACCAAATGACATATATTGCATCATTCAGCATCATTCACTACTGTTGTTCACTGTTGTATTAACTTCAAAGGGAGCTGGTGCATGTCATCCAGACAGCTCCTACTGGTATGAGTCAACAATGAACAGTATCAAAGGTATAAAGATTGCACACACTATATTAAAAGCAGCTATAGACAAAAACAGCGCTAGCTATTCCCCTGTATTGATAAGGGTTCTTATCAGTCATATCTAGTTTATTACTGAATGAACACATAGGGACAAAGTATCGTTTTGAGCCAACTACAAACAGGAATTGAACAAATACTCACTAGACTCCAGTGGAGGATGAGAAGTCTCAGGAATCCTTGGAATGTCACTAAAAGGTACATATATAGAGAAAAATGAGAAAACCATGAACTGCTTCTTTATAGAACTTCAGACCAGTAGATCATCTGGTACATTTTGTTGGCCAACCAAATGCCCTTGAAAAACCTACAAGTAGAACATGGAGCTCAGTCCCCCCACCTGTGCTTGTATTAAGAGATTTACTGCCTTTGGATATGAAGGTTTCATTTGTTCATAATGGTTTAATAGCAACTGATGGAGCTGTTCTCCACCAGTCTGTCTAATCTCATTTTAAAGCCAATTAAGCTAGTGGTTATCACTCCATCCTGTGGTAATGAATTCCACAATGAATTCTTCCTTTTGCCTGTCTTGAATTTACTATTTATCAACTTTGCTGGATGTGCATGAGTTCTAATATTATGTGAGAAGCGGGGGGGGGGGGGAGCACTTAATACACTTTCTT